TCACTTTTGGTTCAGTACGAGACTTGGGTCAATAATGTGGATAGAAACATGGAATTGTCTTGCTGCGCAAACACTGGGAGTTTCTTTGTGGAAAGTGGTTTGGGGCTCCAGCAGTCCGGGATCCCTTCATCCAGTGTAAAACTGACATCCCTCACTGTAGCCCAGTCCCTAAGAAGGCCAGGGTATTTCCCATCCACCTGATTTTTTTAGGTGTAACTCTCTAGGGTCCTAGCCAAAGCCCGCGGTTTCACTAGTGCTCACCTTTGCTGGTTGACCCTGAAATTCATTCGTTTCCTTCTAATTCCATGCCCATAAAGTTGTTCAGCTTCTTTATATTTCACTTGCTTCTTCCAGAATGTGTTGATGTGTCCTGGGGAGACGGCTCGCAATGTCAGGCTGCCTTTCTCCTAAGCTTCCTTCTTCTCCATGTGGTTCTCATGTTTCTTCATGTGCTCTTTAGAAATTGGGTGCATTCATTCATAAGAGTTGGCTCTTTTGTCCAGTGTTTCCTTTATTTTCTCGGGAGGAGATCAGGGCATTAGAGTCCCTCATTCACGTGGAAAAGCAAAATTGTTCCTGGTCTTCCCTAGAGACTCAGCTTTGTGTTATTCCATCCCACATTGGGGGTGTGGGCTGCTCTGTGTCATTGGCATCTTGGTTCTGTTCATTGGTAAGTTCTTTTGGGCAGAGGTACAGTGTCCTGACTATCTTTCTGTCTTCTACACCTTGCACCTGAACCACTCCATCACAGCCGCTCCAGAAGGCATTTGCTGAAGAATTGCCTGAGAGACCAGAAGCAAATACATGTGTCTTTCTCTGTGTAGAGCTTTTGACTCAGTTTCTAAGGGTCTTTTTGCATTTGTTCTTGAGTAAATCCGGTGTCCCATTGAAAGTGGTAAACCAACACCATGAACAAAATTGTCTGAGGGCAGCACAGCAAACCAGCCTTTCTAAGCATCCTCCTAAGCTGCTTGCACGATCAGTGAACTCAGTCTTGTTAAAGTCGGTTGACTCCATGCAGTTGATAGTTTTACCTCTGAAATCTGTTTCGTGGAGATAACACCCTGACTATGTAACAGTTCACAGAGTTTTATACATCAGGACATATTCCCGGCACTACGACTGGCCTTTACCTCCTCCAGGATCTTCGAAGGAGGCGGCGGGGTTGTACTTCTAGATCCGAGAAATGTCTGGGAGTGATTTGCCATGCCAATGAAGCAATATTCTGGAAGCCTTCCTTTCAGGTTGATTGTCAGCCTTGGTCTGAGGATCACGGTTCCCCATGTAGGTGTAAGACTAAGGATCGTCCCCTGCTTCTCCTAATGGGTATAATTGGTCAAGCATGGTTTTTCGCTTTGACCTGAAAGGAACTCTCACCGTCTCAGACAAAAGACCAACTCTGAGATTGCACAAAGTGCAATGTTATTTGGGGGTTTGATGATGAATGAAATGAAGTAGAGAAGTATAAAGACAATCTGATTGCCAGAGACTTGGCAGCTTCCAGAGTTTGATTTTTCTTTAACACTGAATGGGGCCTTCCGTTTGTTTCCCTCATTGTGTTGTCAGTCTGTGCATTTATGGGGGTCATTTGAATCTAGGCCATCAGGTGTGTTGGGAAGAAAAGCGGCAGAAATTCAGGACCTTGGCTACCGGACTTTGTATATACCTTTCCCATCGTAGGAAGCTGGAAAATACACACTGTGAACTAAAGGCACAGAAGAGTCAACTGGCAGCTGCTGAGGAAAATTTGAAACTGGTTACCGAAGAAATAGACAATTATAAGTGAGTTCAGACACTAAATATTAGCGGCTCCTGAAATCCCTGTTCACTTCGTATTTTTAATCTTTGTACATGGTTTAGACTCAATTAACAAGTAATATAAACAAAAATTCAGAGGCCATATCCAGAGAGAATTAACAGACACAAAGAGAAAAGTTTTAGAAATAACAAAACAATTATGTTACTAAACATGTCCTGATCCCCAGCGATGGCCTGACTCTGTGGAAAATCCCGCCACGCCATTCCACCCCCCAGTGGTGGTGTCAGTGGTCCTAATCTTGAGGAAAGCAGATTGTCGTAGGATGAATCCTGCCCATGAACCCGGTAGTGCCATCTGATGGCGCAGTCTTTGCAACCCTGGGAACCATGGCGAGCACAGAAGTTAAAGGACAATAGAGCTTCATGGTAAAAGCTCCTTGTCATGTGATAAATCAGGGAAAGATTGATATCAGGTAAGGAAATTATGTCAACTCTGAACCCTGCAGGTGTGGAAAAATGAGTAAGGATAGGATGTAACGATAGCTTTGATCCTACTGTACATTTGTTATCATGTGCAAGTGTTTCCTGTGTCAGGATAAATCGTATGAGGGGACAGATCAGAGGAGGATGGCCACATGGGCAGGTGATTTAAAATCACACCCAAGGGGTGCCTGGGTGGCTGTAGTTAAGCATCTGCCTTCGGCTCAGGTCATGGTCCCAGGGTCCTGGGATCAAGCCCTGCATCGGGCTCCTGCTCTGCGGGAAGCCTGCTTCTCCCTCTCCCACTCCCTCTGCTTGTGTTCCTTCTCTCACTGTGTCTCTCTCTGTCAAATAAATAAATAAAATATTTAAAAAAAAAACTAAAATCACAGCCAATATTGGGATTTATCTGACAAAAGCATTTATAACTCACAGACAAGAAATTGGAAAATGCAAGATCTGTTGCAGAAGGCAGAGCTCACCTTCAAACACAAGGTAACCTGAGTTCTGCCCCAACATACTGGCCCGTTCGTGCCTCCTGCAGGTGATGGAAGTGGCCCTTAGATCCCTGAACATGGGCTCTTGGTGAATTGAATTTTTCAGGTCGCAGCTAAGGAGAGAAGTGCTCTAGATAATTGGGTAAGTGTTTTCTTTTTCCTCCTCTTCGTTTGGGGCACAGTCCGGCACAACTGAGGGTGGATGTGTTTTCCTCCCCCAGGTTAAGGCTCGGTTTTGGCAGAGGAAGATAGTGCAGCAGAGCAGGGAGAACACCTACATGAAACACAGGTGTGCGAGTTTGACATGCCTTTTTATGGGTGTCTTGAGGGGTCAAGGCTAAGCTGTTTAGTGTCTGGTAGAAGACATGGTGTTGTAATTCTTATAGATGTCCATTCTTTTTCTGTATTCAAGACTGCACATGATGAGGAGAGACACGCCTCCTGAGGGATCCATGAAGCAGGAACCGATGCCGGGAAGATCCGAGATATGGAACCGTGTGCAGAGAGGTAGGGAGCACGCTGTGAAATGCAGCAGCCTGATTTCTGCTGGGAAAGCACTTGATGTTCTCCCCGTTCTTGTGGGTAATCGTTGTGTGTCCTAGAGAGAATCACAGGCACTGCCTAAGTACAGCAGGTTGTCTGAAGGCGTGACGGGAGGGTGCTTTCCTCAGGTGCCTACAGGCAGCAGGGCACCTGTCCCTGTGACAGGTGGAGCTAACACCCTTCCCCTGACTGCAGAACCCCCCCACCCCCTCCACCATCCCCCTACTGAAGAGCTGAGCCTGGAGGAGTTGTGAGCCTGAGCTCCCTTCCCACCTTGACGCAATGGTGAAGAGATTTGAAAGAAAAAATTAAGACTGTTTGAGAAAAATGACATTTACCCCTTATGGAGATTCTTTTATTTTTGTTTTATTTGTAATCTACAGTACTATATTCATCACTGAAATTCGTGCATTTTTCTCCTCTAATATTATCGCTATAATGCCACAGCTTTACTTCTCAATCCGCCTGTTTTTTTCTTTGCTCCTGACTGTACGATTAGTCTACTCCAATTCTTCTCTTCAATATTTACGTAATAGCCAGTCACACTTGCTAGGCCTCATCTAGAGACTGAAAGATTGCACCATTAACTGGCGGCTTGAGGTAAGAATGCATGCCGTTCATGTTGCGGGTTTGTTGATATCACCCACTCAAGGCTATTCTCACTTAGATTTTTAATCTATGAAAAAAGTGATTTTTTTGGATTTGTATTGAGCACCCCAATTTCAGTATTAATTTCCAGCCAGTTGTACCCCAATCTGTCCACTGTTGATTGATTACTTATGGAAACACTGCAACCAGGGTCCTCGAGTGTCTCCTGCAAGAGTCAGGTGACTGCTATCTCTCTTAGCAAAGAAGTCGCTTGAGTCATGTGGGGAAACCCTCTCTTCAGATCAGGGACCCGAGTGTGGGAAAGAGTGTAAGATGGAGGAGGAAGGCACGGAGGGTATGCAAACCACAATAAACCTCCATCCTGTGTCCCATCCAGAATCTAGACCGGTTCCCAAGATGAACAGCAGCACCAGCCCGAAAAAGGACCCGGACATGGCTACAGTAAATGCTACAGGCGTTTTCAGTTGTGCCTGTTTCTGGAAGTTACTCCTGTAGGGACAGCACCCTGTCCTGGCCTTGTGGCTGTTGGGTGCGTTCTGTGATCTATCTGAGGCATCCTTCCCCTTTCAGAATGCAAGCTGTTTACCCAGGAGCCTCCAGGCTTCCCCATTAGAGATCCTAAGCTTAAGTGCTTCCACCCGAAGTTGTAGATGCTTAGAGGCAAATGATGGCAGGATGCTCACCCCAAATTTTGTGTGTGTGTGTGTGTGTGTGTGTGTGTGTGTGTGTAAACCCCTGGAGGAGGGCAGCATCTCACTCCACACTGAAGTCAGCCATTCCCGCTGCCTCCTTGCAGTTTGCTTTCTCACAGGAGCAGTAGTGGTGTTGGATTTTGGGTCAGGAGACTGACCTGGGAGAATGTCTGTGGTAATCCTCACAGCTGGCAGCGGGAAAAGCCATTCCCTGCCTCACACTCTGTACCATGTGCTTTGGGCAGCTGTGAGTGTTGTTGGAGTAGGTGAGCTGCGAACTCATGTGCGTTCCATCTGTTTGGGTAAAGACATGAGCCAGAAACCCTCCAGTTGCACCCTGGGTGAGATGAAGGTGAACTCTGCCAGGTGCCAGGTGCCAGGTGTGTGGTAGAAAATACCCCCAGACCACAGCTGTCAAGAGGGAATCCCAGTGACTCCTTGCAGGGCCCACACCTCACACATGTTTCAGCTGTGCTCCTGTGAGCGGGTTCTGATTCGGTTTGGTGGCAGTGCCAACTGATAGCGTCTCTCCTGATCCATCCTGGGAGGGTCACACCTGCTATCCAGAAACATTGGTTTGCATCCAGGGATGCAGAATCGGCCCTTCAGTGGTTCTTGGCACCAAGGACGATGCATTTGCTGTGTGCCTGAGCTAAGGAGCATCGGAATGTCGGTGACGCAGTTCCACAGAGCTGGGTCTCACTAATTCATAGGGATCATGCACCTCTCAGCACTTTTCCAGGTCCACTGCTGAACTGCAGAAATTCCTGTCTCCTGAGCAGTGTCTGTGGCCATGGACACACATGGGATAGTAGAAGTCTCCTTTGTATTGCGGGAATTGGACCGGGATCAGGCGGGGGCTAGTGGGCAGCAGTTGGACCCACGATGTGCTGATCGTCCATCTTGGACACTGGGCTTCCCATTGCCACTCATTCTGTCTGTGCTCAGTATACAGAAGGAGATTCTTTAGTTGTC